GGCACAGAGCACCTCTGGCCACTTGGCTTGTGGTGCTGGTTGTTCAGATGCATGCCCTCTATGCCTCCTACAGGACAAAGGGAGGCTTCCTTGAGTTGGGGTAGGAGGAACACTGGGGGGTGGCAGACGCACTCCCAGCTGCTTGATTTGGGAGCAGCACAGAAGCGGTGCTTGGCTTGTCTCATCTCAGTGGTGCCCTTTTCACTGCTTCCAGTGCAGAATCCAGATGGCTACTACCTGGTTCTCACCTAGGCCCAGGGACATCCCACTGCAAGAGTAGGAGACCAGCCTGGTTCTCGGGGGCCCCACGTTCACCAGAAGCCTTGCTTAAATCCTCAGCTGCTTCATCCGGCTCCGGGTGAAGCGGGATGTCCTACGCCTAGAGGAGGGGAGCAGCCCCCAGGCTCCCATCTCTCTGCTCAGCACCAGTTGGTAGAACCTGGGCACAGTCTCCCAAGCTCAGTTCAGCTGGCCAAGCCTGTGAGGCATGGAATCTGCCAATATGGATAAGACGCCTTTGCCCCAAGCAGTGCTGCCTGAACACTGGGTGCATTGATTCACATTTATTTAAAATTGTATTCACCCTTTCCTTTCCTTAATATTAAAAATTAATTCTAAAAGGCATATATATTTAATGTGTTGTTCAATGCTTGTTCAGTTTCCTTGGTGTTTTGGTCCTCTTGGGGAAATGTTCTCTCCTTACTTAAACTATAGACTAGGGCAAGGGATGGAGTCTGAGACAGAGGAATAAATAAATCTGGCTGGATTTCCCCCCCCCCCCCCCGTTTGGGCAAAAACTAATCACTAAAGCCTCTAAAAGACCATTCAACTATCAAATCACTGTGCATAAAACTTCTAGAGGGAGCCTGGGTGGCTCAGTTGGTTAAGCGACTGCCTTCGGCTCAGGTCATGATCCTGGAGTCCCAGGATCGAGTCCCACATCGGTCTCCCTGCTCAGCAGGGAGTCTGCTTCTCCCTCTGACCCTCCCCCCTCTCATGTGCTCTCTCTCTCTCATTCTCTCAAATAAATAAAATCTTTAAAAAAAAACAAACTTCTCTAGAGATGTAGGGTACCTGGGTGGTTCAGTCAGTTAAGGGTCTGCCTTCTGCTCGGGTCATGATCCTGGGGTCCCCGGATGGAGCCCATGTCGGGCTTCCTGCATAGCAGGCAGTCTGCTTCTTTTTCCCTCTGCTCCTCCCCCAGCTCTCTCTCTCTTACTAACTCTCTCAAATAAATAAATAAAATCTTTAAAAATCCTGGGGCATCTGGGTGGCTCAGTCGTTAAGCGTCTGCCTTCGGCTCAGATCATGATCTCAGGGTCCTGGGATCCAGCCCCACATTGGGCTCCCTGCTCTGCGGGGAGCCTGCTTCTCCCTCTCCCACTCCCCCTACTTGTGTTCCCTCTCTCGCTGTGTCTCTGTCAAATAAATAAAATCTTAAAAAAAAAAAATCTTTTTTTTTAAAGGAATGAATAGAAAACTCTTTAGGGTAGGGAATTTTATTTATGAGCAGGGAGTCTGACGTGGGGCTTGATCACAGGACCCTGGGACCATGACCTGAGCCAAAAGCAGACACTTGACTGACTGAGCCACCCAGGTGCCCCTAAAAAATAAAATGTTAACAAAAAAATGAGCTGTATCTTATTCTGCTCATTTAAAAAAAAAAATTTGAGAGAGTGTGTGTGTGCACATGCGTGAGAGTGGGGGCAGGGGGCAGGGAGAGAGTCCTAAGCAGACTCCTCGCTGACCCCAGCTCAGGGCTCCATCTCATGTCCCTGAAATCACGACCTGAGCCGAAACCAAGAGTCTGATGCTCAAACAACGCTCAACTAACTGAATGAGCCTCCAACTCTTGATTTTGACTCGGGTCATGATTTCAGGATTGTGAGATTGAGCCCCATGTTGGTGCTCTGCACTCAGCGCTCAGTCAGGAGTCAGCTGGAGATTCTCTCTCCCTGCTCTCTCTAAAAAAAAAAAAAAAATAATAATAATAAAATAAATCTTTAGGAAATTTCAAACACTGAAAAGAGAAAACCCATATGCATGGAGTGGAAGACAGGCCAACGTACCCTCTTAAAAATATCTGCTTAATTCCTTATTGATCAATTTACCTCAGTTATCACTGAGGGGGCCTAGAATTCCATAGGGCTCCCCAGGGGTGTTTCACAGCAGGGTAGATAGCTAGAGATTGAAATTCAGCTTGCTGACTTGGCTCCACTGCTCATTTCCACCAAAAGGACAGGGACCCCACTGCATTAGCCTTTGTGTATCTCTCAACCTAGGAGCCTCTAGCACAGACTAGATCCTAAAATATTTGTTGACACGAAGGGAATGAAAGCAGGAAACAAGTATCTACCATGTGTCATTATCATCTTTTTAATCTTCACACTCTAAAGTAGGTACTGTTATCCCCGCTCTACCAATGAAGAACGGAGATGGAAGGTCAGCTGGGTGAGGTCATTCGGGTGGAAGTCAGGCACTCCAGCTTGGAGCTTGTTTTAACTATTATACTACTCCATCATCATTCCTTCCTAGTCAAGGTGAGGGCAATGCTCTGCACAGATAGGGGACTCAGGTTGAATTGCTGCTGTCAAATGAATTAAAACAAAGGTTTTTTTAGAAACTCTGATTTATATTACGTCTTCTGTTTTTCTCAGAGACAGGTGGAGTTCAGGGTATTAAATAAAGGCTCTTAAAAAGGTATTAAGCCTATTAATAAATAAAGGGTATTAATAAAAGAATATTAAACAAATACAGGATGCCAAAAAGAAGGCCCTTCATTCAGCCTCAAGAGCCTTTGCACTTCTAGGGCTCAAGGAAGTTAAGAATCACAGCTCCGAGTCAGGCTATTTCCCCGGCAAAATGAGAAGTCTCCACAGCTTATTTCCTTTAATTACATCATAAAACAAAATTAGAACATACAGGAAACAGTAATAGTTACATAACAATTTACTTTATATATTTATATATAAAAAAATTTTTCTTTTAGTCCAAAGATTTTAAAGCAAAAGGAATCCTCTACTGCCACCTTGGATTTTATTTTAAATAACCCTCCCTCCCCCCATCCTCAGGCGCCAAAGTATTGGGTGGAAGCAGTCACTTGGACAGCTAATGGAGCCTGGTGTGCAGTCCCCGAGTCAGGGACCATGTCAGCCCAGGGAACGGCTGAGCGCGGGGCGGGCCAGGCCTGGTGGAGAGACCGGCAAGCAGCAGCTCCCGCACGCTGAAGCACGCCGGGGCAGGCCGGACGGCTGCAGGAGGCTGGGGCCGCAGCAGGGTTTGGGATCAGACCCTGCCGGTCAGCCATTCTCTGCCTTCTGTCCCCTCGGGGGGAGAGGGGTCCGAGGGGGTTAGTGCAGGGATGGAACAGCCCGGTTTGAAGGTAAAAATTTCTCCCGCAGCACCATTCGCCCACCATCTCCATCCTCCGGCAGTCTGACAGGCAGGGGTGGTCCTCCCAGCGGAGCTCCACACAGATCTGTGCTCTCAGGGTCACGGGAAGGTGGGCAAGGCTGAGGAGAGCAGCCGGGAACCGCCTGCGGCAGGTTACCTGGAAACAATTCCTGGTAGGAAAAAGGAGGCAGCCAGGGTGGGAGGCAGCTGAAGGCTGAGTCATTAAACAAGAATGGAGGAAGGCAAAATGCAGAAGAGGACTTCCTCCCCCGGACCGACCACCCAGCCGTAACCTTTCCAAGCCTTCGGACTGGGCAGTCACAGATCCTCAGGGGCCGGCTGCAGAGCCGCGGCAGGGGTTTTAGAAAAGAACCCCCCCCCCACGCAGCTCCTGTGGAGCCCCGCCCCATGGAGCTTGTGTGTGTTAGAGGTTAGCATGGAGTTTGGGGGTAGGGTGAGGAGGGGAGTAAGAGAAGAAATCTCAGGCTCACCTCCTTCCTGCACTTATTAGAAAGTAACAGTCATCAGAGAAGCACAGGTAAGATTCTTAAGGGCAGGAAAAAACATGTAAACCCAGAAAAGCAGCAGCAAAGGTTTCACTTTTTACAGGTCTATTATATAGCACTAGGAAAGAAAATCATTCAAGTCTTTGGGGGGGGGGGGGTGGGGGGGGGTAAAGTAATTAATCAAACCATGCCAGTTAGAGACTCCTTTTTCAAGTCAGGATTTTCTAAGACTTTCGGTTGTCGTTCACTAGTGCCATAAGAAAAAAAAAAGGAAGAAAGAAAGAAAGAAAAACAACACAGAAATAATGACTTCAGGGGCTGAGAAGGGTTAGGCTAAGGTAAGAAACACGTGTGTGAGCAGCAGTGAGACACAGATCTGAATTAGTGAAAATAAGCAGTAAGCAACGGTGACAAGCGGAACTTCGTGGGGCAAAGATTTCTTCTTCCACTTCAATAAATAAGACATCACTTCAAAGATTTCCCTGGGTTCTTGGGGTGTGGCCGAAGAGAAAAGGTATGTGTCTGGACACCTCTCTTCTCCCATCTCTTCTTGGGGTAGGGATTCTCATTCATTGCCTACCTGCTCCTGCCCTGGGTGGGGGGAGCCACACCCAGAAGCACTGGGCGTTCTTTGGGAGGTGCCAATCCCCATCTGGGCGACTGGTCGGGTGCGTGGCAGGCAGAAGCCCTCTGTGCCGGTGAGAAGGGCATGGGAGTTCACAGGATGCAGAGGAAAGCAAATCTACTCACATGCGTGAGGCAGGTGTTTCTACATATTCGGGACAGATGCTTGTACCTGAAGCAAAGTGCCCCAGTTCCAGAGCCGATTCTCTCCTTTACTTTCAATCTCATTACCATTTCCCCACCCCAATTCTTCAAAACAAGACACTGAAAAACACAGAAAATAAGAGTCCATTGACACAGTTCTGGTTGCTCTTTTTCCTAAAACGGCAGTGAGACACCTTGGCTGAAGAAGCACAGACACTCAACACCTGCGAACCAGACTCTACCGGGGGCTTACTCAAAAAACGCATGAGGCAGAGATGGAAGAAACACATTATGGAATTTCTCTTAATATCCCACGTGAGCTTGCCCAAGACATTTTTTTTTTCCTGCTGAAAATTAAGTGTAATTCTGTTGGGCTCCAAAGATTCACTCAGACTCAGCTGAGAGGTTCTTATGGACTTTCCTAAGGGTCAAAGCCTTCAGAGATGCAGATCTGATGTTCCTAAGAATAAAAATGGACAAAGAGAGAGACTTGCCTTGTGAGGGGGAGTTGCAGAAGCCCTTCATGCAGAAAAAGCACTTGCCTCAAATGGTAGTTTCTGGCAAATAGAGTTTGTCTCAAGTGAGAGGGCAAGCTTAGAGCAGCATGTTCTTTGCTGGAGAACCAAGCTGTTCAGTTAGGGCACCTGGATATAGCAAATACAGCCAAATGTTATTCCCAAATTACCTGGGTTAATTATAGCCAACTGACATGGTCTTATATAGTTTTCTGTATCTTCCAATATTACAGTTAAAGTTTATGATAGAAATAAAGGTGACGGGAAGCTTAGACTCCATATTTCCCCTCACCCTCCTACTGCTTTAGGGTTCTTCGGTCCAAGATCATTGTAAAGGGGAGGGTTTGCTTCAAGACCTCCAACCAAACATCCTCCCCCCTCATCTCAAACAAGTCTCAGCTCATTCACACTGCCTGGGTTTGAGGTGGTTAAAGATCCTAGAACTGGTGGACAATCTTAAAAAAAAAAAAAGTTCCAGAAGCTCAAAGAATACCACTGAAAGAGTCCCTCGGCCAGGATGTACAATGGGGATGGAAACCTAATCTTAGACCATGCACACAAGGAGGGAAAGGCAGAATAGACCCATTTCCTTTAAGCCCCTCCTCTCACACTGGCAGCACCTGCCATAAGCAGCCCGTGACTTTCAGCACAATAAACATTAAACGGCCAAGGGTCAACCATGATCCACAAGTGTTCCTCTTCTTCAAACCCACAGTTCCCTAAAGATATGCTGCCCACACACGCAGGCAGGCAGCCCCGTCTTCCTTCCGGTGCCACTCACAATTCCCTGCAACTTCAGACCAGGACAAAGTTCCCGCATACCTTGTTTACCCGCCCCCCCCCCCCCAATGGCATGAGTGGGCCATCAAACCGGTAACAAAGCATTTTACAAGGCAATTAGGAGAAATAAAGAACCCGACTGCTGTAGCATTAGAGCTGTATTGAACAGTTCAAATGGTTTGGAAAGCCCAAAATAAAGCATCATAAAAATATTTGCCAGGTGTCCCTCTAAAATATGTGCTGTAAAAAAAATGTAAAATTTCTGACTTATAGGTCTGCTACATCAACTTAATGGATGTGGAAATTTACAAAAACCATTTAAGAAATATTCTTACATATCCAACAGCGTGATTTCAAATTTGGTAAGCAAACGTCCAAGACCACCCGGTGAAAAATGGCTTGAACCACACAACAGTTACTGTATTCAAGGCTGCCCAGAGATTTTGCTTAGATCAGGACAAGGACCCAAAGAGGAAGCTAGACTGGAGACATTGAGAATAAATCAGCAGCATCACTGGGAGTGAGATGGAGGCTTTAAATAGAAGACAAGAATGAGTACAGGAAGAAAATGGGAGCAGTTCAAAAAAAAAAAAAAAAAAAGAAGCTGGGATCACCTTGATGGAGCCAGTATAGAGGCCAGAAAAGATACTGATGTAGCAAATGATGCTGGAAAATGTAGGGGTGCTGCTCGGAAAAGAGGTGATCTGGATGTTTAATAACGTTCTCCACAGACACAGCAATAACCCCTCCTGGCTACCTGCAGATCTAGGCAATAGCTCTGAGGGTACCTTCTGACTTACCCCGAATCTCTCCATTCACTTTGTATTTCTTCATCGTAGAAGGTGTAGAGGGCCGGGGCTCTGGAGTCAGACAAATGGGCCAAGAAGCCTTTCCTAAACTCTAAAGCCTTACTGAATTTTCAAAAGTATTCCTGATAATTAAGACAGGATGGCGGGGCCCTTTCCACCTGACTAAAACTTACCATGTTGTGGGTTCTTAAATTCCCGGTACATTTCATCAGCTGGCGTAGGTTGCAGATTGGCATAAAAAATCTATTTCCTTCTAAGCTTGATGGGCCTGAAGTTTTCTTGCGAAAGGAACAAGGCCTGACCACATACAAGCACAGTGCTCACACTCCTTTTTTCTCTCACTGGACTGTGCTCTTGGCCCAGACAGGTAGGGATCGCCTGAGCAAGTCCACAGGGACCTGCACGTGGGTCCACTCTTTGAGTTGAGAAATGGCATTTCCAAGATGTTCATGTCCTGGTGAATAAGGTCTTTTACATTTATGTACTTTTTAAGTAAAGAAGTACCTTAAGGGCCTCAACTGGTGGCCAATTTAAACCCATACTCACTAATCAATCACGGTTTTATGGTCAATTTGTTCAGGCAATACTAAAAAAACCTTAATGTGTTAGAGCAGATGGCCCCTAAATATTCTTTTTACTTTTGTTTGAATGAGTGACCTGGGGATCTGAATATTAACCACATCTGGAAGTGTGCAAGTGTGTATATTTGTACGTGTGGGGTATAACCAGGAGAGTGAGTCTCACTTTAAAAGGTATATCCTTATGCCAACTGTACTCAAATAAAAAAAATTTTTAAGTATATTCTTCATATGATAGTTTGAAAAGAGGATAAGGGGAAGGGGGAATGAAAAATAAAAGTAATTTGAGCGTTTAAAAGGGCATAATAAAAAAAGGATTTAAAATAAATTTAACATGCAAAATAATGGTGGACGGTACAGATTTCTAGCATCCTTTCATCGAATTGCTTGTGGAGAAATAAGTCATACTTTATTTTTACATACGCTGGCAGAGCTAGCACCTGCAGCATTACAAGCCTTTTAACAGCCTGGATCATGCAGAAGATGATCTAAGATCATGGCAGACTGCACAATAATGTCCTAAAAGACCAAAAGGAAAAAGAAGGTGTCCTATTAAAAACCACATAAGGTTTCTAACTTTGGGGTTTAGAAATCTACTTCTTATACTTTAGAAACTCATTTTAGTTCCCTCATCCTTTATGACTTTTGGGGGGAAGGAAGGAAGCCTCTTCTTTGCCTCTGAGTCATGGGCACTGAATACGTGCCTTCAGTTCTGCTGACCATGCTGGGCAGAGACACTGAACCCCCTGCTTCCTCTCAAAGCCTTCACCTGGTTACCCCTGTATTTCATTCATGGGAAGTCCGGAGCACAAGAAAGATAGGGTTGACAGGTTTTGAAATGGTTCTGGTCCTTCAAGGTACCAACATTTGAGATACACCATCAACACTGACACAGTTGACCACCTGTTCTAGGGTCATTCTTGTATCCCTGATAGGCTGGAACGGGGCGGGGGACTTGGGGGGAGAAACTGACCAGCTAGACGGCACAGCAACTCTAGCAGCGCTCCTACTGAAACAAAACAACCTCACAGACACAAATCAGGGATGCTACTGCTCACACCTAGATTTCAGTGAACATCCGACATGTCTGGGCTTGGGTGTGGGGTGCTTTTGGGCTCAGTTTTGGGATTCGCCATTCCACTCTTTACTAATAATGCATTTCTCTCTCCGTATTAAGTTAGTGGAGTCTGACGGGAAGAAAAATGTGCAGGGAGAACATTGGGCATATCATGCGTATTATTATATATCACAAGGTATAACAGAAACCAAAAGGCAAAGTTTGTTTTCATCAAAATAGTTTTAACTCAATTTCTTCTCATACCATTTCTTGGTTTTGTGATAGTTTCCCTTCAGACTGGCAAAGATTCAGGCAGGGTCCCCTAATGGTAAAATTTAGAATTAAAAAAATATTTATTGATAATGTCTCTTTTAAAAATGTTTGGTAACCCCAACTAATCATCCAAAATGCACACTGTAAACACAACGGCAAAAGAATAACAACTGAGTGTGAGTAAGCAGACAATGAACAGGTGACAGACCGAGCAAGAGTGCAGGAGGGAGCAACAGAGAACGAAAGACAGGTGCACAAGTGTGCTAGAAAGAGTGACAATTTGAGTGAGTAAGTAATCACATTTGGACCGCAGCGATTTCAGTGCAACCATTTAGGAAACCTCTGGGCCAAATACTTAAAACACAGGAGGAGGAATGGATGAGCCTTCTTTGGGAGCATGCTCAGCATGTTGGCATGGGAACAAGGAAGCACAGAAGCTCTGTAGTCATCCCATGAGAGATGGCTACCATTTATAGGATGCAAAGAATTTTTCTTTCTGGTCCCTGGATACAACACATATTGTTTTTCTATGCTTTCCTTGACCCTGGAGGACTGCAGTTGCTGTTCCAAAATCACCAAAGAAACCCCTTCAAAAAATGAAGAAACTGCAAGCGCAGTAACACTGCGTTGGCTGGAATGCCCCCTTCCCTCCACCTTGCCTATGATTTTCTTCTTGGCATGTCCAACAGGAATGGTTAAGTTTTACCAATCCACTTGATAAAGCCAGCATGGGCTTCAGTCCCCTGGTCACAGAACTAGAGTGGGTGGGGGTGAGGGTGGGTTTGCATGTTATGTGTGGCTCTGGGGATCTGGACGCTGCCCTCACTTTGTAACCCTTGCCCAGAACACTGGGGTTGCTTCCATTGGAGACTCCATTGTAACTCTAGAAGTGTCATTAAATACTCAGTTCACCAAGGTTGACCACCTCCATTGTCATAGGATGATGCAGCATCTGCAGAATCGCTGTCTGCTGCCCCCTACTGATGGGGGTGGAGTGACAGGTGCGAAGTAGGCGTGGACTTTAATATTGGGCAAATGGGTCTGAAACAAGACAGAAACATTACTAAGAGAGAGGGCTAAAACAGAAAAAGCAACATTGCTTTTCAGAAAAAACACAGGGGCTGAGTGAACATGAAAGCAAGGCAGAGGCTGAGTACCGGTCAGGATGTTGAGAGACCTAGGTTCTGCTTTGTAGTATTCCAGATTATTCTAAATGACTAAATAGCTCACATAACTTTGGTATCTGCTTTTTAATAATAAAACTGGGGAAAAACGTCATACTAATCTCTTAACCTGTCCCAAAGGGATTGCTAGTTGGATTCCCAAAGTTGAAAGAAACTATACAAGCTTAAAATAATTTTTTCCAAGTCACTGTGGACAATGTTTCTTCTGATATTTTCTTAAAAACCTAATTATCCACTTTTAAAAACATACTGCTAATTTTTAGTACATAAATAGTTTCTGAATTCCTACCACACTCAAGGCACTGTGCTAGTTACATAGGGGGTACAAAGATGGTCAACACGGAAACCCTGCTCTTAGGGAATTTAACAGTCTAGACATAAATAGCTAAATTAAAACGAAATGTTAAGTGATGATTTGAGAACAGAAAAAAGTCTTGAGGACTCAGAGATGGAAGACATTCTGGACAACCAAGGAGGTCTAGGACCCCTACTGCAAGGAGGCCACAGAAGAGGCTCTGGTTGGCCTGTAGCTCTCTTTTGGTGTAGAAGGAATATGGCTGCAAGGCTTCCCCACTGCAGTTATGCTCTCAGTCCTCTAGGTCAGAAGGGAGAGGAGGAACTAAGGCCAACTGGAACTCAAGATGAGGTTTGGTGCTCCTTTATGCACTCAGATGCCATATGGCCAACATGGATGTTTTTAGACACTGGTTGTAAGGGCCTAACTAAGCACAGTGCCTTTCCCACAGCAGGTGTGAAGCAGATGTTCCAATAAATGTCTGTTGAGCTGAATAACCTAACATACAGATTCATCCATCCTTTTATAACCCCCTTGCTGGCAACCTGTCTTCCAGTCATTTGACTACGCATGGGTCTCTTTAGTATGGAGGATGGGGCTAAAAGGTAAAAACAAAACAAAACAAAAAAACCCTACTTAATCCATTTGTTGTCTTAAAAAAGAACCCCAGCAAAAGGGTTTGATGTGAAAGGAAATACAAATTAAATTCTTAAATCCCATTTAACTAAGTATTTTATGTTCTTTCTTTCTTTCCTGAATCTGGCATGTGTTTTTGACTCTGGGCATGTTATTAAGCTCTGGACATTACAGGAGAGACTCTGCTGGGAGGAGACCTACTTTCTTCCCCTCAGTGGGTATTTTCCCACTAAATTTCCATCTGGAACAACAGGTAAAAACTACCCTTTGGTTTGCTCTCCATTTTTTTTCCTCTTTGCTGAATGTCCAAGTAAATATAAAAATCACAGGAATCTAAATCTAAAACAAAAACAAACACAAACAAACAAAAAGGAAATGGAGGAGGGAAAAAAAAGAAAGAAGGAAAGGTGCTAAGAGCACCAGAGCTGGAGAGTGTGCAGCCGTCTTTACCCTGAGTCTCTTGATCCCAGCCCGTGTGATCTGCTGGCAGTCATACAGTTCTATCCGCTCGAGGCTGTGACAACTCTTCAAGTGCTCCAGGGAAGCATCTGTGATTAATGGGCAGTTGTCCAGTTCAATCACCTCCAGCTGGTCATGGGCGCAGGCCCCATTCCCCAGGTGACGAATTCCATCGTCTGTGATCAGCTCACAGTGAGACAGACTCTGCAGCCAAGTAGAGCAAGGAGGACACTGAGACATCTCATGGCATTCTTCTAGCCCCTAGCCTGTGCACAGCCAGAAAGGACATCTTCTGGATTAGATTGTGATGTATATGGAGCCATCACCAGATCCATGTGGTGAAATGAAGAAGAGCAAACTAGAGTTGCTGGGGTTCTGCTTTTGACTATCAATGACTGACGTTTCTGTGTGTGATTCTTTTTTGGGGAGGGGAGGAGGGGCAGAGGGAGAGAGAGTATCTTAAGCAGGCTCCATGCCCAGCACGGGCCTCAATCTCACAACTCTGAGATCATGACCTGAGCCAAAATTAAGAGTTGGACGCTTAACCGACTGAGCCACCCAGGTGTCCTTCTGTGTGTGATTCTAAATACACCTTGTGAATTCATGCAATGACTTTTAGTTCATGAACAAAACATGATACCCACCCCCCATATAAATTAGCACTTTTCTACTGGGACAAGAGGGGCTCAAGTTTTTCTTGAACAAAACTTTCTGGAATTTGGACTAAATACTGAATACCTGGTACAGGAGAATGTCCAAACAGTTAACTAACTGAAGATGATTCATACACTTGTCAGGTGTGGTCATCTTCACACAAATCCCTTTATCAATTTTCCATAAATCCCTGGTTCCTCCACGTGAAACTCAGAACCCCTTGTCCCAATTCTGGATAGTAACATACCACCAAATACACACAAAAAATGAGCCTGGACACAAAAGAGTTAAGCGGAATGCTTTCCCATAATGTTACTGGAAATAGTACCAGACAACACCCCTAGTAAAGCCTTGACTAGTTCTGTTTTACAGGATCATTTAGTCTCAAGGTGAAGCAAATTTTATTTTGGGCCATCTTGTCTCCTGGATCTCTGAAATGTAATTAATTAATTATTTTTAAAGATTTTATTTATTTATTTGAGAGAGAGAATGAGAGAGAAAGAGAGCATGAGAGGGGGGAGGGTCAGAGGGAGAAGCAGACTCCCCGCTGAGCAGGGAGCCCGATGTGGGACTCGATGTGGGACTCAATCCCGGGACTCCAGGATCATGACCTGAGCTGAAGGCAGTTGCTTAACCAACTAGCCACCCAGGTGCCCTGGATCTCTGAAATTTAAACATCATTCAGGCTAAAGTGTAATTCATGTGGGAGGGAGAACTCATACTTTCCATGTCACTTTTCAACCTCCCAAGTATTGATACACAATCCCTTGGTCCTCTATAAATTGGCAATTTATAGAAATATGCTTTCCCCAAATGGTAGCCAGACACCAAGAAGAAAGTAAGAGCTGGGTTTTGATTAAATCCAATGAACACATAAAACTTAAAAAGTCAAACTTACCAACACTTGAAGTCGAGGACAGTGTATAGAAAGTTGGATTAACGTGCTATCTGTTATCTGAAAGAAACACGTGAATTTATTATGGGTATAATTCCAAAAAAACTTCATGGCTGTACCTCATTCTTGAGTACACTTGTATTCTAAACTGATATCCTGATATTAACCATAAAATAACAGAATCTTAAGACTGAAATCCTATTGGCTACTTGAACCTGTTCTTTGAACAATCTAGTCATCTGTAGTCTTCATCTTTGAACAGGTCTGTTGAAAGTTCTCTTTTGTTTTTGAAATGAATGAAAATCTGTCCCTTTGTGACTTCTACCCACTGGACTTTAGCTCCTTAGAACCACCACAGAAAAGAATCAGAAGATGCTGCTCCATGTGAAAAATGCTGCTCAAATGTGAAAAAAAAATTAATATGAAAATATCCTCAAATTTTAAGTATATTTGGCCTGTATTTTATAAGCCATGCCACAACTCTGATTTGATAACTTGGGTGTAAGGTATTTTCCCGAAGGTGGCAGAAAAGGGGCTGCTGGAATCTGGGTTAACTATGAACATTAAAGAAGAAGGAACTCTTGAAGGAAGAACAGTCTTTTATAGTTATCTTACGCTGGAAAGTAAATCAGTGCTTCTTTTCAAATGTTCCTCCAACTCTGAAATGATGATGATGTCTATTAACATACATAGCTTCACAGGGGCTAAGAAATGGTGAGGGATGAAAGGTTGGGGAGGGAAGGTGTGTGCACATCACTGAGAGGGAGTAACATTGGAAAGGACACACAGGACACTCAGGCATATGCAAAAGGTAGATGGATGTGAACAGTTTTAGTTTATTATTATTTTTAAAGATTTTATCTATTTATTCATGACAGAGAGAGAGAGAGAGGTGCAGAGGCAGAGGGAGAAGCAGGCTCCCCAAGGAGCAGGGAGCCCGATGCGGGACTTGATCCCAGGATCCCGGGATCAAGACCTGAGCCAAAGGCAGATGCTCAACCATCGGAACCAACCAGGTGCCCCAAGTTTTAGTTTAGTAAGAATAGTTGCTAAAGAGTGTCTGGATAACAAGTAATTTAGAAAAAATTCACCCCTATAGTTACTAGAAGTATCTTTATTTTTACCATTAAAACAATTTATTTATCTTCTTTTTACGAGTCCCCCTTCAAAATTTCTCTCTGATCAACTAGTAATCTTAAAGCTCTTATAACTGGTAATAAAAGAAATTGCTGTTAAGGCAGTATTTGGTCAGTCTGTCTGCCCAAAAGGCAGAGTTGGATCTCCACGGCTAATGATGTAAGGGGTCCATGGTCTCATTAAACTAAAAAAAAAAAAAAAAAAAAAAGGGCAGTGCTATATTGTCCATGTGATGGGGCTTTAATTATTTACTAGTATTATAACCCTGTAGGTTTAAGAAAACATTTTAACATCTTTATGGCCTGAATGCTTGGGCCTTCTTTCTTTCCACTGGTAACCTTATTGATGGCATGTATTTTCCTAGTTCCTTAGCATGTACACCACGCACTTCTGCCTGGGATGCCTAGAGGACACCTCAATAAAGTAAGAATCAGCAGTGCTGCCAGGCACTACACGACATTAGAGTAGGGAACTGAATGTTTTGATATGCATGTATTATGTAAGTTTCTTTTTCTTTTTTGTAAGTTTCTATCATACTGTATTCCTTTTATTTTTTTTAAGATTTATTTATTTTAGGGGGAGGGGCAAAGGGGGAGGGCGAGGGAGAGAATCTCAAGCAGACTCCCTGCTGAGCTTGATCCCACGACTCTGCAGCTGCAACCAAGAGTCAGATGCCCAACCAACTGAGCCACCCCAGGCACCCCTATGATACTGTATTTCTGTGTAAAAATCCACACTCTTACCTGAACACACTCTTCCAAGTCCATTTTTTCAAGCTCATGGCAATTCTACAGAATACAAAACCAAACATTATAACACGAACATTTAAAACATGGGAAAATTTAAAGCCAGAAAACTAAGAAGAAGTATTAAATACACTGACAAAATCTTTTGTCATTCTAATGTCACTTTCTGCCTTCATTAATCACACATTTTATTTTATTTTATTATTATTATTTTTAAAGATTTTATTTATTTGACACAGAGAGAGAGACAGTGAGAGAGGGAACACAAGCAGGGGGAGCAGCAGGCAGAGGGAGAGGGAGAAGCAGGCTCTCCGCTGAGCAGGGAGCCTGATGAGGGACTCGATCCCCAGGACCCTGGGATCATGACCTGAGCCGAAGGCAGCCACTTAACCGACTGAGCCACCCAGGAGCCCAATCACGCATTTTAAAAGGCCTTGATCACAGTGAAAATTTCTCAATTATTCTACGTTTGAGGTATCTAACATCTTCTAAGTCCAAGGGAATAAATTTTCTGAACATTAATACCAAGATAATACAGATCGTTCCAACCATAAATAATTTAATGAAAATGATTTCTTTGGAAGAATGGAAGGTAAGCTTTGTGTCCTCACTGAGTTATGCCATGCACTGCCCCCCCCACCCATTAGTCTTCCATCAATCTGCCTGAAAGCAAATGTTCCTCCCCATATTCCATTACATACTAGTTAAAGACAGTATAATTTTAAATACTACTATTATACAGTGATTTATAAGCCATTCCAAGTATTTATTCTGGAGAACACAAAAAAATCTCTTAAACCGTCTCCATTTAAAATCAGGCCCATATGTTTCTTTCAATGTTACTCTCACCCACCAGTCACATACCGAACAACCAAGAAAGTTTTTTTCACGAAGCACTAGGAAGGCCCTCCCTAGTTTACCATCAGTGAAAACGTGGCAAATCAAGTCTAAAGAAGGAGCATCATATTTACTCCAATGCACATCTGTGTTTCCAGAGCAGTCTGTGTTCTATGGGCCTACAGCTGCAGCATGAGAATGTTCAGGCCCACCAGCCACAGAGAAGTGCCCTCACACCCCATACCCTCCATTCTACTTTTCCCTCAGTGCTCACTCTTCTGAAATTAAAAAAGAAATAAAAAAATAAAAAATTCCAAACCAAACCTACAGAACCTGGAGAAAATACTTACCCTGGCCAGAGTGGTAAAGCCTACATCTGTTAATTGGGAACATCTTGCCACTTCTAATATTCTGTTCAAAAAAAAGCAAAGTGAAAGTCAAGCCCCTTATTCCAGGAAAACTGGGTTTATTAGAACAGCAAGAATTTAAGAAAACAACCTCCTATTCCCTAAGCACTGAATCATAGAGTGACATAAACAGCTAAGCAAGTCTGTATACAGATCTTGCCATTCATTTTCATGGAGTCATTATAAAGTGGTCCTGTAAATACCACCACATTTCAGGGTGATGCAATCAGAAAAATGTAATAGAAGCTTATAGTTAATGCGAAAATGCATGAAAAATGCATTTAAAAGCCTTCTTGATGGCATACTGCTTACCCCCAGAGGGCAGCCTGCTCCTAGAAAACAAAGGAAATGGAGCTAAATACTGTTTCAATTAATCTGTTGCTCAAGGAAATTATTCTCTTTCCCTATTTTACATGAAGGTTCACTCAGATTTAAATAGCTTTTAAAAATGCTATGAAGGGACTGGTTAATTACAGGCCTGTCCCAAGTATGAAATTCCATACTTATGAAAAAATGCCCTTAAGCTTCCTGCCTCCTCCCACAGGCTCCCAGGGAGGCCCAGTGCAGAGGGCTGAGCTGGCAGCCACTCTCCTACTCAGGAACTGTTAAACATCAACCGAAATACTAAAACCACAGGACAGGGGAATCAAAAGTAGCTCTTTTCTGTACAAAGTTTGGTGGCATCTGCACGACAGTACCAAATAACATCTTTATGTTTGCTTACAAATCACTTACTACATGAGTTGAAAGAAATAAAGGTACAGTAAAATAAATCATTATCAACTACCAATCAATTAGAAATGAATATCTAATGGAAAAGCATGATCTGACTAAAGCTAACTTTTGATTGTCATATTTGAGAGCGTTTCTGTTCGAACAATAAAATAAACCATGAAGGAGTAAGGAGCTGAACACTCGCTTTAAAAGAGAAAAAGGTAACGTGTAATATTTTTAGGGAGGAGTCCGGCTACCTCCTTAGCCCCAGGCCTCTGATACTAATTTTGACGAAGTTTATAATCTATCAAGGAATTCTGATAATCCAGGCAACTTTTAATAACTATGGTTAGGCCCCTGCCCAGGTGATAACAAAAAGCTTTAATAAAGTCATATGGGTTTACAGTGATTATTATATGTGGTTTCCTGGGCTCTAGAGCCAGACTGCCTGAGTTTGAATCCTTGCTCCTGAACTCACTAGCTGTGAGACCTTGGACAGGTTACCTGACCTCTCTGTGCTTCAGTTTTCTCATCTGTAATATGGAGACAGTAACAGTGCTTATATGCTATTAAGAGGACTGAATGAATTAATATTTGCAAATCACTTAAAACAATGGTTAACATATCTAACATGTAAGTACAATAAAAGCTCTATTTTAAAAACAAAAAAGGTATATGCAGATCATCCCTATTTATTACAAAATAGCACCGTTGTGTGCTTTTACAGAACCAACATGGGTTTGGAAAACATGTACCTGCTAACATGGCATTCTTAGTAAATATTCAGCCAATCCTATATTTAGGCAAAGAGGAGGAACCACAGAGAAATCAGGCTTGCTCTAAAAGACCACGAGCACAAAGGAGTTTTCCTGCAGGGCTGGTTTTTCTTTTTAAATACTTATTGCTAAGTACCTGGCATCCTTACCGCAAGGTAAATAACCACAGGGTAGGCCTTTAAAAACTTTCTTCAGAAAGGAATTACATGGAAGTATTAGTAAGAGAAAATGCCTTTATTTCACTTCTCAAGTAATGAAATAAAATGTTTAAATTTTTTTTTCTAGTATGGAGAGCAAGAAGTAGGAAATGGGGACTATCACCCCTTGGTTTAAACCAATTACATGTAATCAAATGAGGTACAAAGCAAATAGGTTAGCATCTAAAAGGGTAGTAGCCTTGTAGTGTCTCCCTTAAAAATCTCAAAGTTCCAAGGAATAAATTAGGGTGAAGAAGGGCTTTGTTCCTTTCCCCTGGTTTTTTGAGCTAAATAAGAATGTTTACCTAAGCCGTGGGCAGTTCTGACCTAGAGCATTCAGGATGGCATCTGTGATGTTGGCGCAGCCGGAGGCACAGAGGGACTGTAACTTATGGCACCCTCTGCATATAGTAATGAGACCTTCATCTGTGATTTGCTAAAAAATAAGAGCAAAAAACCCCCACAGATATTAGTAACGCAGCAGAAGAAAAAGAAGGAAAAAATGTTACCTGGGAAAATAAGCACCAAAAAGAAATAAAACCGATTTAATATCAATCAGGTAGCAGACCTAAAAGAAAATGAACACACTGTTTCTCCTTTTCAGTTCCTTTTGATTTACTTGTGAGAGAATCTGCGCTCATTTCTTTTCTTAAGTAGGCTCCACGCCCAACATGGGGCTTGAACTCACAACCCTGAGATCAGAGTCACATGACTGAGCCAGCCAAGCAACCCTGTGCTCATTTCTGGTGTAAAGGGAAGAAGCCATAATGGGATTCTTTTAACGTAATGGGGGAGATTCAATTAAATTGCTTTATCAGGCCAAAGAGAATTTGTGTCACATATTAGGAAAGTATTGTAGAGCTGTGCCGCCTGTTCCTTCTTAGTGTTTTCAAGTCCGTAAGGGATCACGGAAGAAAGAGGATGGACTGAGAATGTACTTTGGTCACGTCAACCGTTTTGGGGCAGAAACGTGAAGTCTTAGGAATGAGAATCATTGCATCACATTCTACAGAAGGAATGCCTTATATCCTAAGATCTGGGTGAAGGGAAAGAGTAAAATAAATAGATGATAGAACTGGTTCTTTGTGCTTACCGACTGTGATTTCTGTCTGCTGAAAGGGTCAAGGAAATGAAACTAAAACAGCAAATGGTAGGTGCGGCATACATGTGTATGTAACATACAACCACACAAATACAGAGAGTGTATCTGCGTGTCGATACATAGACATAAGATCCAAACATCCCTGAGAACGGTTTTTTCCTGTCACTGCAAGATGATGATTTCATGTTTATAGCAGTTGTATAAGCTCTTCCTGTCAGGCCAAATATTCCAAATATTTCGGTTTCATAAATGAAAGTAGGCAAATTCTGAGAGTTAGCAACTATGGTAATCAGAATTAAAAGAAAGCGGTGATCAGACTTAAAAGGAATGTCATTCCTTTAACTCAGTCTTCAGGAGCCTCCCAAGTAGATCATTATCAGCACCATCCCTTAAGGGCTGAAGGGGAGGTTGCTTCAATTGCACAAAATATGGCCCTTTATGTGTCACTCTTTTTTTAATGTTTCTTTTTTTTATTATGTTATGTTAATCACCATATATTACATCATTAGTTTTTGATGTAGTGTTCCATGATTCATTCATTGTTTGCGTAGAACACCCAGTGCTCCATTCAGTATGTGCCCTCTTTAATACCCATCACCAGGCCAACCCATCCCCCCACCCCCTATGTGTCACCTTTAAACAACCGCTATGGTCTCAAGTTTCAGGAGATCATACAAGAAAGGGAGGGGATAATGAGCAGAAGTTTTAGCAAAAACAAGGCAAACCTTCAACTCTTTTTCACTGCCATGAGAGGCTCTCGCTGCAAGGCAACACATAATTGTAATTTTCAAGGTAAGAGAGAAAAGCTAAAAGTATATTGTCAATGTTCTAGGACCCTGAATAGTTTCAGCAAATTCTCTGAGCAAAATGCAGGGGTTTGGGGATAGACACAAAAAAGCTGACAGTCTAAACAAGCCCAATGTGAACTTCAACTACTACTTGGAAATAATTTAGAGAGTACATTTTGCTTGTCATCTGTTTAGATCAGTGGTTCCCAATAGTTATGATTCACTGATAGATCTTCATTGGCATGACTGCAATTAATTAATCAAAAATATTCTAAGTATTAAAGTCTGTGAATAATTCACTTCTAAAAAGCAGAAAAGAAAAGGGGTGGAGTTATAGCTTATTTGGAATTCTGCATGAGCTATCTTCTAGATGACTTATGTCAAAAACCTTAGGCGTGAGTATCGTTAAGCATGCAAACGATCATCTGTGTGTCCCCTGTATCCCCTGTGTCACCCCACAGGGCTGAAGTGGAAAAAACCACCGGTCTTGATGACTGAAGCTTGTACAATATCACTGCACTGAATTACAAATACAAAAGAGTTGTGGGAAGGACTGCTTACTAAGCAAGTCTGCAAGTTCAAAGTCACCAGTTCAGGACAGTGTGCACCTATGTACTTGAGAGCTTCATCTTCTAGCTAGAAAAATTAAAAAGACAGAAAAAAATGATTACTAACATTGTTTCAAGGGATAAAGATTTAGGAGTATACACATTCATCAATATATTCTAAATATAGCCAACCAGGTTTCAAAGAACAGTGTACCAGAAACAATGACCCTTGGTCACATAAAGGGGTAATTCATGTCATTAGTATGGTTATCAGTATTTTTCATCAGTTTCAACCACATCAAATTCACATGATCATCAAATCAAGGAAAAGATAAAATAAACACTGCCTAATGTTTATGGATGTTTCTTCTGATAAAAATTAAGTATGCCTCACAGCATTTTGCTCAGGGATTATGAAGCTAAAATAATTTTCACACTTCTATACTTCCTATATAAAAAGTTTTTTTTAAAAACAAACTTTGGGAAGCAGAAGCTGAGAAAGGAATCCGGTTTATCTGCTGCTGGAAGATCAGTGCCATGCGTACAGTGCTGAGAACAGATGGCAAGTAATTGATTATAATGGTGCATTCCAATCAATATTTTTCAGGATTCCATAAATAACCAGAAGCTCAAGCTGTTGTTTTAAGGCAGTCTTACTTTCAAAGCTCTGTTTCAAACAATGGAACTCCTCCCATCATGGTGAAGGAATAAGGGCACTTTTTTTTTTTAAACTTTATTTTAAAATTTTGGTTACAGTTTCATTTTTGTTTTCTTAACAAGTCTACTGTTTAATCTCTCAGGATTAAAAAAAAACAATTATTAAGACCCTAAAGAATTAAACAACAGAGGAATGTCAAGGGAAGGGCACAACTGTCCCATTCTCTGGGGTATAAGAGTTATTCCAGTTTAACACCTAGCTTCAGAACAAAATGAATTTTTATATTTTCTAAATGAAATAATGTACAACCACCATCTTCTAACATTCAAAAACAAAGCTTCATCTTAAGTTTGGTAAAAAAAAAAACTTTTTTTTAACAGGAATGATGGCCGACCTTAGTATGTAGCGTGTACCTTACAGGAATTTTTTTTTTTAAACAATCATAACACAGTAATAATGGAATAAGGGCACTTTTAACAAAATCCAAGGCATGGTTCCAGTAACCATTAATAAAATAATGTCACAAGAGCTTAGCCCTACTTCGTCAGTCACTTCTAAACTCACTTTTATTTCCTTCGAGATGCTGCCCTGTCAATTCCTTTTTTAAATAACAGTAAAATATGAAGATAGTAAAATCTTTAATGACAAAACGTGTTGGGATTTGTAATGTGACTGGCAGGAAGTAAACACCAACACTATAAAATGTACGTTCTGTATACTTGGCACATTTAACCTGGTAGTTAAACAACTAGTGAAAATTGCTAAGAATGCTTTCCTTGTGTCTCCAGTTCAAGGTCTCAGGCAGTGACAACATGGCGAGTTTCCTTCTCAGATTAAATTGCGTAAGATGCTTCCTGCCTATGGTGCGTGTTCAGTGTGATTTTGTCTCCCCATCTTGCCTCCCCTCAAAAACTTTATCTTTGGTCAGATGTTATTTCTTTTCATAATTTTTTTACTCTAAGGAAGACACTTTAATTTTTGGTAAGCATGTATCTTTGGTCATTAATATACAACTACATATTCCTCCAGCCAACATCTTTGGGCTGCCTTCAAAGTTCACAGTTCTTCTAAAATTCACAAGACTACATGGAGTATTACCTGTGTGCAGCCTTTTAAGAATAAGGCCTTGAGACCCCCACAGCCTCTCACTAGTGCTTGGATGCCATCCTTGGTTACTTGGTCACACCAGGAAATGTTTAATTGCTCCAACAGTGGACATCCCTCACTTAGGACAAAAGAAAATGAAACAAATATATGACTAAATCCATTTCTAAAGGCACCAAAGTCTCACTTTACTGGCTATTTATTCAGGGAATGGCTACAGCCCCATGCTTTCCCACAAGGATATGCTCATTTACTTAACACAGATTTAGAATACAGGCAATCTCACAACAACAAAGCATATTTATTAATGTTGGTTGACTTCAGGTGGGACTGTATCACAGGAGGGCTATCTCAAATCCAGCTAAACTAACAAGAACAAAGCACAAAATTTTTTGTTATGTTAATCACCATACATCATTAGTTTTTGATGTAGTGTTCCATGATTCATTGTTTGTGCATAACACCCAGTGCTCCACGCAGTACGTGCCCTCTTTAATACCCATTACCAGACTAACCCATCCTCCTCCCCCCTCCCCTCTAGAACCTCAGTTTGTTTCTCAGAGTCCATAGTCTCTCATGGTTCGACACAAAGCACAATATTGTTTTTCAGATATATTAGACTGCTATGGAGGTTTATCCTTTTCAAATATATTCTTTATGCACTTATCACATGTTTAAATGGTCTCGGGAAAGGAAATGGGAACTAAGTGACTGTTCAAGTTAACAGAGTAATTAGTGAAGAGTTTAGATTCAGATTCTTTATCAAGTAATTCTATTACTTATCAAAGTAATAATGAAGACGTTTAAATTCTTATTTAAAAAGTTACAAAGGATCTATAAATTTTCCTTATCTGTGAAGTCTTTAGAGTACGGTCTCCATAGGCTAAATTTAGGCTATACTGTGTTTGATCCCTGCCTTCTATCAAACATCAGTATCATCTTTGATTTCACATTTGAACTATGCAGGAATCCCAAGCTCTATGACATTCTTTGGAAAATACTGCTTTAATTGTTTTATAAAATGAAGGCAGGGGATCCTGGTTCAAGTCCATTCTTCAACATTAATAGTGTGACTTCAGACAAGTCACTTTAGGAAACCTGCCTGAACTTCTCTTAATCTAAGATCAGCCATAGCCTGTGTTCTCCCCAAATGGAAGCACTCACTTCTTATAACACTGTAGTATGACAACATGTTTATTATTATTTTTTTCTCCCACTACACTCTGAGCAGCTAAAGGGCAGCAACAATACCTTATTCAGTGAGGTTAAATCACAGTACCTGGCATTCAAAAATGTTTTAGATTTTCTTCTCTATAAGTGTCTGCCTATCTGCCTCACATGGTTTTCAAATAAATGAAATCATTTATGTGAAAATATTTTATAAACCATAAATGCTGTTGTATTATCCTATTTATTATCCCACATGGCAAATGGGCTTAGAAACATATGTACTCAGTATTCATAAGGAAGGACTAGAAGCCCTTTTTAGATTACTTATACTCAACTAAATCTATATTTCTTCTCTTAATAGCTTAATTTTTACTATTTACGAGCATAACCAATACATGGGACCATAATTACCTGTAAAAGACTGATAAAAAAGTGAAGCTACAAAGAGAATGGGCATTTCACCCTCCATTTAAGGTATACCTTCTGTAATGTACTTTAAAAAAATACATTAATATTAAAACAAAACTTACTCTCCTAAGCACTTTATATATATTAGGTTGAGCCACACGAAGCCAAAAGTTGTCAAATACTGGCACCTTTGTATGGTTTGGCCTAATATTATCAAACAATTATAATTCTGTTTAACCCCTAACAACAGGACTATGAGATGATAAGGAAAAGCTCACAGGGTTATATTTGTTCAAGGTACCTGGTCAATCACCTGATTCCAGAGTGCTGTTTTGCTCACTAAGCTATAATGATATGTGGCATTCTGGGGGGTGGGGGCAACCAAGCCTTCATAGAAATCTAATCATTCGTGTATACGCTATACCAGTCTGCTCAGAAATCCTAGTTACCTCTAGTCATTTCATCTGAATGTGTTCTGTAATTTGGGCAAGTGATAAAACAAAAGATCTATTCTGAACTTTAGTACATATCCATAAAACACAGTTTCCTTCAATTCCAACTTTATTTCAGTCATTTGAAATAAAAAAAAAATCAGTATTTGTTCTGATTATTGGATACTCTTGTTATAAGACATTTACCTCAGAGCTTTAAGAGACATGTTTGTTATTGATGTACAGGAAGCCAAGTCAAGGTGCCTGAGTTTGGAACAGAACTTGCTAAGGCTAGTACATGTACTGAAAAATGGAAAAAGGAGAAAATAATGAATAAACACACAGGAACACATCTTTAGTACGTCATACACAATTCTTATTAAACACGTGTGTATACATAAGAACTGTAAAACTTCCATACTCCAAATAAAAGCAGTTATAAATCCTGGGACTTTTCACATTGAGGAAGAGGCAGATGCCATTCACAAAGAAGAAAGGCTGTGCTGTGTATGAGAATTAGCATGAGGGGATGATGATGCTTCATTCTCATTTGGAAATAAGTTTAACAGCAAACTACCTATGTGCTCATAGGAGACCTATATGCTTTTTGCAAATACAGAAATACCAGAAAGCTAGCTTATTAGAACTTGCGAGCAAGTGATGAAACATGAAGACTGAAAGCTCTGTCTCTGTGCTTTCATTTATTTATTGTTTTTTTTTTTAAAGATTTTATTTATTTATTTGACAGAGAAACAGCGATAGTAGGAACACAAGCAGGGGGAGTGGGAGAGGGAGAAGTGGGCTTCCTGCTGAGCAGGGAGCCTGATGTGGGGCTCAATCCCAGGACACTGGGATCATGACCTGAACCAAAGGCAGACGCTTAACGACTGAGCCACCCAGGTGCCCCTCTGCTCTTTCATTTACTTTTATTTTTTATTTTTTTTAAGATTTTATTTATTGGGGCGCCTGGGTGGCTCAGTCGTTAAGCGTCTGCCTTCGGCTCAGGTCATGATCCCAGGGTCCTGGGATCGAGCCCCGCATAGGGCTCCCTGCTCCGCGGGGGGCCTGCTTCTCCCTCTCCAACTCCCTGCTTGTGTCCCCTCTCTCGCTGTGTCTCTCTCTGTCAAATAAATAAACAAAATCTTAAAAATAAATATTTATTTAATTTCTGAGAGAGCGAGCAAGCATGTGTAGGGAAAGGGGCAGAAGGAGAGGGAGAGAGAGAATCCTCAAGCAGACTCCATTAAGTGTGAGCCCAACATGGGGCTCTATCCCAGGACCCTGAGATCATGACTTGAGCTGAAATCAAGAGTAGGCCACTTAACCAACTAAGCCTCTCATGAGCCCTTGTTTTTTTTCCTTTTTTAAAAAAGTAATCTCTACCCCCAACATGGGGCTTAAACTCATGATTCCCAGATCAAGAGTCGCATGCTCCACCAACTGACCAGCCAGGTACTCCTTTATGAATTTCTTAAAGGCTTTTTTTTTTTTAAGATTTATTTCAGAGAGAGAGAGCACAAGTTGGGGGGACAGGCAGAGGAAGAGGGAGAAGCAGACTGTCTGCTGAGCAGGGAGCCCAATGAGGGGCTCAATCCCAGAACCCTGAGATCACGACCCGAGCCAAAGGCAGATGCTTAACCGACTGAGCCATCCAGGTGCCCCTAAAGGCTCTTTTTCCACCGTGATCATGTTCTCGGTTTAATTTTTTTAACTTATGATGGAAAATTTCAAATATATACGAGTGAATAATAGAGAATGCATATGTACCATCATTAAGCTCTGACATTTATTAATTTCTATTATTTCTATTTCATCGATTTCCCTCTGCTTTTTTGTTCCAGTATTTTAAAGCAAATCCCAGACATATTATTTCACCTATAAATATTTTAGGACATATTTCTAATAGATAAGGACTTTAATTCCTTAATATCTGATAACCCGTCTGTGTTCAAGTTTCCTCAATTGTCTTATAAATGCCTTTGTCAAGTTGATTTGTTCAAATAGGATTCAAATAGGAGCCATACATTCTATTTGGCTGATATGTGTCTTAGGTCTTTGTGTGGACCTATGTTTCCATTTCTTCTGGATAGATGCCTAGGGTTAGCATTGTTAGGTCCTACACTATGTTTATGTTTGACTTTTTAAGAAACTACCGAACTGCTTTCCAAAGTGGCTGTACTATTTTACATTCCCACCAGCAATGCATGAAGGTCTCAGTTTCTCTACATCCTTGCCAATACTTGGCACTCTTTTTGATTATAGCCATGTTAGTGGGTATAGACTGTACTCCTACTGTGATTTTATTCTGCAGTTCTGTAATGAATACCCTTTCTTGTACTTATTAGCCATTCATCTCTTCCCTTGGTTAAATGTCTATCTAAGTGTTTGGCCCAATTTTTAATTGGACTGTCTTATTATTGATTCTAAGAGTTCTCTATATACTCTTAATACATGTCTTTAATTTCTTTCAGTAATGTTTTGTCATTTTCAGATACTTCTTTTAGAACTATGTCATCGGAGAATATAGACAGTTTTACTTCTTTCCTGTCAGTATGCAGTATGTCCCCCCTTTTCTTCTGCTTATTGAATTTGGCTAGAATCTCTAACAGAATGTTGATAGAAATGGTGACATTTAACATCCTCACCTTGCTCATCTCAGGGTAAAGGATTCAGTCTTTCATCAATAAGTATGAGGTTAGCAGTCGGTTTTCCATAGACGCTTTTGATCAGATTGCGAGAACTCTTTTCTATTTCTAGTTTGTTGAGAATTTCTTTTTATTATGAATGGGTGTTGGATTTTGTCATGTGTTTTTTCTGTATCGGATGATGTATTGATGATCTACTGTTACTTAACGAACTACTCCAAAACTAAGCGGCTTAAAACAACAAATATTTACTATCACACAGTTTTTGTGGGACAGCAATACAGGCCCAGGTGGCTTTAGCTGGGTGCCTCTGACTCAGTACCCGTCACAAGGCTGTAATCAAGGTATTGGTCACAGTTGCATTCACCTCAAAGGTTAACTGGGGCAAATTCCCTTCCAAGCTTATTTAGGTGGCTGTTGGCAGACCTCAGAAGATCCAACTCCAAGCTCACTCATTTAGTTTTTGGTAGGTTTCAGGTCCTTGCGGGCTGTTGGCCAGACCTCAGTTCCTTGTGACATGGACCTCTCCACAGAGCTACTCACAATAGGACAGCTTGCTCCCCCCAGAGCTGGAGCCCTGAGGGAAAGCAGAGAAAGACAGAATCACAGTCTTTTGGTAACCTAATCTCCAAAGTGACATCAAATCTCTTTTGCAGTATTCTATTGTTAGAAATGAGTCACTAGGTCCAGTCCACGTTCAAGGGAAAAGATTACATAAGGGTGTGAGTACTAGGAGGCAGGGGTTACTTGGGGGCCATTTTAGAGGCCACCAATCCCACTGAGATGATCATGTGGTTTTTGTCCTTTATTCCAGGAGGCAATAAATCTCACCAGCTGCCTATTTTTATATGGCTCACAAGCCAAGAATGGTTTTGATGTTTTTAAATGGTTGAAAAAAAATTTTTTAAAGATGTATCATGCAACATGTGAAAATCATATGAAATTCAAATCTCATTGCCCAGAAATAAAGTTTTATTGGAGCACAGTTATGCCTATTTGTTTATGTATAGGCTATGGCTGCCTTTGGAAAACACTGGCAGGGTTGAGGAGTTGACAGATAACTGTATGGCCAATGAAGTCCTAAAAATATTTAATCTGGCCCCATACAGAAAGTCTGCTGACTTCTACTTTATTCTACTAATTATTATGAGAGATAATTGATTTTCATATATTAAGCCATACTTGTATTTCTGGGATAAATCCCACTTGGTTATGATCCCAAATCCTCTCATACATTGCTGGATTCAGTTTGCTGACACTTTGTCAAAGTATTTTTGTGGCTCTGTTTCTGAGGGATCACAATCAATAGATTACCTTTTATTGTGATGTCTCTGGTAGCAGAAAAACTGGCCTCATAGAATGAGTTATAACATACTACTACATTTTATGAATCAGTTTGAAGATTGGTATTATCTCTTCTTTAAATATTTGATGGGATTCACCAGTGAACTCATCTGGGCCTGGAGTTTTCTTTACAGGATGCTTTTGAATTATTCACTGAACTTACTTGTTACAGATCTATTCAGATTTTTTTTTTTAAGTCTAATTTGGTAATATGAGCCTTCCCAGGAATTTGTCCATTTCATCTAGACTGTCTAATTTGTTGGCATAAAGTCATTTATGGGGGCACCTGGGTGGCTCGGTCAGTTAAGCATCTACCTTCGGCTCAGGTTATGATCCCAGGGTCCTGGGATTGAGCCCCACATCGGGCTCCCTGCTTGGTGGGAAGCCTGCTTCTCCCTCTCCCCCTGCTTGTGTTCTGTCTCTCACTGTCTCTCTGTCAAATAAATAAAATCTTTAAAAAAATAAAAATAAAATAAAGTCATTTATGATATTCCCCGATAGTCCCTTTAATCTCTGTCTTTTGGGTATTTAGTCTTCTCCTTCATTCCTGCTTTTGATAATTTATGTCTTTTATTTTCTTAGTCTGGGCTTGTCTATTTTGATTTTTCCCCCAAAAAACCAGCTTTTGGTTTCATTACTGTTTTTCTGTTTCCTATTTTATTGATATTCAACCTAATCTTTTTTCTTTTTTAAGTAAACTCCACGCCCAACGTGGGACTCAAACTCACCACCAGGAGGTCAAGAGTCACATGCTCTACAGACCGAGCTAGTCAGGTGCCCCTAGATCCTTGATTTTAAACCTTTCTTTTCTAACGTAAGCATTTGAAACTACATTTTTCTCTCAAGTATTGCCTTTGGTACAGTCCACAAGTTTCAAATGTTGTGTTTTCATTATCACACAGCAAAACATATTTTTTAGTTTTCTTTGTAATCTATTCTTTCACCCATGTTATTCTGAAGGATGGTATTAGGACAAGTTCATTGACAGTGCTGCTCAAGTCTTCTAGAGCTTTACCGGTGTTTGGTCTACTTGACTTATCTTTACTATTTATTATCTTCCACCTACACTTTTTCCTGAAGTTTACATCATCTCATATTAATAACCACGCCAAGTTTCCTATGATTAGTGATTATGATAGTATAGCCTTTCTCATCCTTTTACTTCCACATCCATATTATCTTTAAGTTTTCTTGTAAATTCTTGAGCATCTTTTCACTTGTTTTTTTTAAACTTTTTTTTTTAAAAGATTTTATTTATTTGAGAGAGAGAATGAGAGAGAGAAAAAGCACATGAGGTGGGGAGGGTCAGAGGGAGAAGCAGACTCCCTGCTGAGCCGGGAGCCCGATGCAGGACTCGATCCAGGGACTCCAGAATCATGACCCGAGCCGAGGGCAATCGCTTAACCAACTGAGCCACCCAGGCGCCCAACTTCTTATTGGTCAATTTTTTTTTAAGATTTTATTTATTTGAGAGAGAGAGAATGAGAGATAGCACGAGAGGGAGGAGGGTCAGAGGGAGAAGCAGACTCCCCGCTGAGCAGGGAGCCCGATGCAGGACTTATCCCAGGACTCCAGGATCATGACCTGAGCCGAAGGCAGTCGCCCAACCAACTGAGCCACCCAGGCGCCCCGGTCAATTTTCTAATCTCTATCATTTCTGGGTCTGTTTCCATTCTGGTATCATTTCATGTTTCGCATGTCTTGTAATTTTCACCGAATGCTGGAAATTCTGTATGCTGAGTGTCTAGGTTTTGTCACCTTCTTTAAAAAGAATGTTGAGGTGGCACCTGGGTGGTTCAGTTATTAAGCATTTGCCTTCAGCTCAGGTCGTGATCCCAGGGTCCTGGGATCAAGCCCCTGCTCCGTGGGAAGACTACTTCTCCCTCTCTCACTCCCCCTGCTTGTGTTCCCTCTCTCGCTGTGTCTCTGTCAAACAAACAAAATCTTAAAAAAAATAAAAAATAAATAAAAAGAATGTTGAATTTCAACTTAGCAGATAGCTAAATTAGTTATGGATCAATTTGATTCTAAATTTTCTTCTTTTAACCTTTACTGGGACAGGCCTAGTCTAGCTTTACTACCAAGATGTGACCTTTCTGAAGTCTGTTATTAAATGCCCCGAGGTATTCCCCATTTGAGGTAGTCAGAACTTTTCCCAGCCTTATTTAAGCTCTGGCAATTTTTCAGTTTACAGTTTTCCAGTAATTGTTCTTTCCTTATTAGATGCTCTTTGTCTGGCTTTGTGGGGTCTCAATATGTGTATTTATACTTTACTATTCGGCCAAATTGATGTAGATTTCTATAGCCCTTTTTGAGTAGATCCTCCATTTTGAGACAAAAATTCCACTTTCGTCTCCCTGAGCTCTGATCTCTTACTCTTCAAATCAGCCAGAACTTTGTTCTCTGCTCGAGTTACTTCTCCTTATACCATCATCTGGAAAATACCACCACGCAGAAAGCCAGGGTAGTCATAGGGTTCACCTGATTTGTTTCTCCGTCCTGTGCTGCATATTGTCCAACATCTCAAACTGGTTCTTTGCTATGTTTTGTATAGTTTTATAGTTGTTGATGGCAGGAGGGCAGTTACTGTCACAGCAGAAGCAGAAGTCTCCATCTTTGCTTTTTAATTTTTTTAATTTATTTTTTTAAAGATTTTATTTATTTATTTATTTGAGAGAGAGAAAGAGCATGAGAGAGGGAGGGTCAGAGGGAGAAGCAGGCTCCCCGCCGAGCAGGGAGCCCGATGCAGGGCCTGATCCCAGGACTCCAGGATCACGACCTGGGCTGAAGGCAGTCGCCCAACTAACTGAGCCACCAAGGTGCCCCTCCCTCTTTGCTTTTTTAAAGTTTGTGTCTTTTTTCTTTGATATTGCACTTAAAATACTATGTTTTTTTTTTTTAAGTTTATTTATTTATTTGTCCGAGAAAAGAGAGAGAGAGAGAGAATGCACAAGCAGAGGTAGAAGCAGGCTCCCTGCCAAGCAGAGAGCCCAATGCGGGACTCGATCCCAGGACCCTGGGATCATGACCTGAGCCAAAGGTAGATGCTTAACCAAATGAGCCACCCAGATGCCCCTAAAATATTATGTTTCTAAAGTCACTAGAACAGGCAAAAATCTGAACTAACCAGTGGTTATTTGATGATTTGATGATTTTTTTTTATAGGAGTGATAAAGTTAACATGCTTATGTTAAAAGGGCCCTACAAAAGTATCTTTTTTTTTTTTTTAAAGATTTTATTTACAGGGGCACCTGGGGGGTTCAGTTGTTAAACGTTTTCCTTCGGCTCAGGTCATGATCCCAGGGTCCTGGGATCGAGCCCCACATCGGGCTCCCTGCTCAGCGGGAAGCCTGCTTGTCCCTCTCCCACTCCCCCTGCTTGTGTTCTCTCGCTATCTCTCTCTCTGTCAAATAAATAAAATCTTTAAAAAAATTAAAAAGATTTTATTTACTTATCTGAGACAGAGAGAGAGAGTGTGCAAGTGGGGGGGGCAGAGGGAAAAGGAGAAGCAGACTCTCCGCCGAGCAGGGAACCCGATGCGGGGCTCGATCCCGGGACCCTGGGATCATGACCTGAGCCAAAGGCAGACGCTTAACGACTGAGCCACCCTGGAATCCCTACAAAAAAGTATCTTATACAAACTCTTTTGCAGTTTGCTTTTTTAACCGTATGTCCTGGAGATCACTCCAGAATACTATATATTTCCTCACTCCTTTTATTTAACAGTCCTCTACGGAATGACATTTGGATTGTTTCCCGTCTTTTGCTATTAAAAATATGGCAGTATTTGTTATTACGAACAGTAAAAATGAATAGCCTTGTGCATAAATTTTACTATATTTTTGTCAGTTTATCTTTGGTATGTAGGATAGATTCCTAGAAAAAAGTATAAATTGTATGTCACTTTTCTAGATACCAAACTGGTAAAATTCTTAATCTCTGTAACATTAAGTATTCAAAAGAAAAAAATAAACAGGTAACTTATCTAAAGTAAATGTAGGCTACTGGTATAAAGTCATGGTTAGGGGAGGGGTTATATTTATTTCTTATGTTAAAGGGTCAAATCAATCCACAGAAATAATACTTGTTTATTATTACAAATATTCTTGTAATTCTACCATAGCAGAATTAACAACCGTAGTTCTTGTTTTTCAGACAAGAAAAACATTCAGACAAGTCTTATATTAAAAGTTAACAATACTGTGATCTTAAAGAAAGGAATGAAATAAACTGTATCCTGTGTCTGGAGTGTATTTCACTTTCCTTCATTAAAACAATTCTAGGGGTGCCTGGGTGGCCCAGTCGTTAAGCATCTGCCTTCAGTTCAGGTCATGATCTTAGGGTCCTGGGATCGAGCCCCGCATCGGGCTCCCTGCTCGGCGGGAGGCCTGCTTCTCCCTCTCCCACTCCCACTCCCCCTGCTGTAGTCCCTCTCTCGCTGTGTCTCTGTCAAATAAATAAAATTAAAAAAAAAAAAAAAACAATTCTAAATATCCCACCTCCTTCATGAGGCCTTTTTGAACAGGAACATTCACTGAATAATCCTGGCCCCACCCTGTATAAACACACTTCCTCATCGGCTTCACTTCACCTCACAATAGGCAACAATTTCCCTATGTGATTGTAAATGTTATTTGATACATATTATTAATTATTACCAATAGATACCCTGGAACTAATTTTTTGGGGGCGTGCTGAATGTTTTTTATGTCTACCTTCCACGTCTATTAGGTCTGTGATAATAAGCTCTCAAGGATGAAGGACTGCTTTATTTCATTTATACTGTAACTGACAGACACAGTACATTTAAAGGGTCATTTAATAATGCTCTCAATATTATTACAAGTTGCTCAGTATGTCTTTAAGATTTTATAGAATTATCTGTTTACTGTGGGTTTTTAAAAATATTTTATTTATTTATTAGAGAGAGAGAGAGAGAGCATGGTCGGGGAGGAGGGGCAGAGGGACAAGCAGACTCCCCACTGAGCACAGAGCCCAACGACTTGGGGGCGGGGTGGGGGGCGCCTGGATCCCAGGACCCTGAGATCAGACCAGAGGCAAAGTTGATGCCCAAATGACTGAGCCACCCAGGAGCCCCTATTTACCATGTCTTTTGAATGAAAGCTACTAGTATCTTCTTGAAATATAAGTAGTCCTAGTAATTTATATTATTAATATCCCTACTGCATACCCATGGTCTATAATTTGTAAGGTTCACTTTATTTTTTTTTAAAGATTTTATTTATTTATTTGACAGAGAGAGAGAGAGAGCACAAGCAGGGGGAATGGCAGACAAGGAGAAGCAGGCTCCCTGCTGAGCAGGAAGCCCGATGAGGGACTCAATCCCAGGACCCTGAGATCATGACCTGAGCGGAAGGGCAGCCAGTTAACTTAACTGACTGAGCCACCCAGGTGTCCCTTAAGTTTCACTTTAAATATCAAGATAGAATTTGGGCCAGATTCCAAAATAAGTTTCTTATGCCATTTCTATTTTAATGTTGTTTTCGCCTTTTAAAATATCTTTCTTGGGGCGCGTGGGTGGCTCAGTCGTTGAGCGTCTGCCTTCGGCTCAGCTCATGATCCCAGGGTCCTGGGATCGAGCCCTGCATCGGGCTCCCTGCTCAGCGGGAAGCCTGCTTCTCCCTCTCCCACTCCCCCTGCTTGCTGTGTCTCTCTCTGTCAAATATATAAATAAAATCTTAAAAAAAAAATAAATATCTTTTCTCTGTAACACTACAATGAAATTTGCTAAATATATTTAATAACCCACATTTAAAGCTAGTATAGGCAGGACACAAGGGGCTATGACTTACCCTTCTAAAACAAAATACTTACGCATCTGTTGTCTTTGTACATCCGTTTAGATTCAGTACTTCAATGTTCCTACAATTTTGTGCAAAGGTCCTTTACAGGAAAGAAACAAAGTTAAAGGTCTGAAAACAAATGGGCACAATTCTAGGCATTACAAAAAAAAATAAAAGATATTATTATTGGTAATATTGGATGTTTGTACAAAACAAGCTCACATTTACAAATAAATTCATTTTCAACCACGAATTTTTTTTTAAAGATTTTATTTATTTATTTGACAGAGAGTGAGCGAGCACAAGGAGGGGGAGCAGAAGGTAGAGGGAGAGGGAGAAGCAGGCTCCCCACTGAGCAGGGAGCCCGATGCAGGACTCGATCCCAGGACCCTGGGATCATGACCTGAGCTGAAGGCAGACGCTCAACCTACTGAGCCACCCAGGCACCCCAACCATGAACTCTTAAACATTGATCTTTGTGTCAACCAAGGTTACAATTACCCTAACTTTGAGTCAACAAATTAAAAAATTTACTCAAGACTCCAAAAGAGTCATTTATGATATGAGGAATCTGGCTTTTGGTGTGGAGTACTTATTCTTGTTTTATTCTCAAGACCATACACCCCCAAACCATATATCCCAGTGTTATAAGCAATGTATGTGTGTTTGGGTTCTGAAGAACTTAAGAATATAAAAATTATTTTAGCTTTTTCTGGGTGAGATGGTGCTGTTCTTTACTTCAGCCAAGAAGATCAATTAATCAATAGTTACGTTCTTACCTTAATGCATTGTCTCCTACTCCAAGACACCCACGAAGACTTAACTTTCGTAAAAAGCCCCCACATCTTTTTGAAATATTCTCCACTACTCGGCCCTGTAAAAAAAGATCGAAACAAAACAAAACAGAGCAATAAGGTACCACATTGTTTTTGAAGAGAACAGATCCTTGTTTTAAAATAACTTATAAACAAAGAAGAGGCTTCTACTTGTTTTCAAAACTTAATTCAATAAAGAAATTTCAACTTACTTTGAGAAATCTTTCCTGATCAACTCATCTACCTGAAACAGGTTTACACCCTGTATTGTTCATTTTGTTCAGTTTGTGAGACACTCTGCAGTTGAGGAAATGGTGCTCTGTACTTCTTATTGCACTATATTAACGCAGACTGACCTCTGGGTTAAACTGCAGCTATTGAAGGACATTAGCTACCTTTATTATTTCTGAATCCTTTCCAAAGTGTTTACTATAGCACTCTAAATACAGTGGAGACTCAACAAACACTTAACAGAAGCTTGCTGAATGATTTTGTGGGTCATGTTGCTTTAAACATTTATATCCATGAAGATTAGACAACTGTGAAAAACCTAAGAGTCCAGCATAATGTCAGTGGGTATTATTTTAAAAGTACTTTCTGTAGAAATGGTAAGTTCCATTTCTACTGGAAAGTTCATGTGAGGCTTTTGAAAAACTTCTTATATGGATCCTCAAGACAAGTTCCCCTAGAACTTAAAAATTTTTTTAAATCTAAATCTCATTTTATCCTTATAATATGATGAGGAAGCTATTATTTCCACTCTACTGACAAGAAAACCAAGGACCACAGAATTCAGGTTCATGTTAAAATAATCTAAGCTTAAGCCATTATCCTTCTCTATTTTAGAGATAACAGGCTATATACTAAGAGATGAACTATGAGGAAGAAGTTTGAAGGGAAAAAAAAATTTCTCCCCAGCAAAAATAATTCATTAAATGACTTTGGCTTCCTTCTTTTTTCATTCTCCACAAAAACTGTCTCTAGGCTCCCCAAAGACCAAATGCTCACCTCAATTAGAATTTATACAAATATCATCCTCCAAGTTGTTAACTCTATTCATTCTTCAATAAGCAAATATAAAAAGACTTCCTTAAAAAAGCAAACACACGTTCATTTCCACCACAAAAATAAAAACAAAAATTTTTAGTCCTATTAATACTAAATAATTCAGTATTCCTCAGTAAAATAGCTCTGCTTATTCTCAAAATCTGAACAAGCTTGTTGGGAACATTGCAGGTTCCCATGAAGTTCAGATGCACTGAAATTAATAGTTTCTCTCTCCAGGGAAAGGAGATATATATGGTTGGGGCTAATCTGTTCCATGCTGTAATTACATTCTAACATGAGAAACGGGGCCACACACCACATAATTATACCTCAATATCCCTCTGGAAATCAAACAGGTCAATTCGCTGCCAGTTACTGCCATCCAGAGCCAGAACATTCCAGGCCTGTTTTGAAGAAAAAGAGACAAAATGAGCAGAAGCTCAAGGGGGAAAACCAGCAATATTCAAGTTCACAATTCAAACCAATGATTGAAATTGACCAAAAAATTTCTCAGCCCACCACCACTAACTCCCAAAAGGTCTGCCTTGTTTCTGATTGATATTTTATCCAATTAGATTATCTCATAAATGAGTAGATATAGAAACTAGCAGCTAGGGGGGTTGGGAGAGGACAGATTGTGATAAGTATATTAGCCAGAATCTCTTTTCTAACCAGAAGATTTAGTTTCTAATCTCCAAATGAGATACTTCTGCTGATGAAAAACAAGTCTCTTACTCCATCCCTCCACTAGGAGCAAGATGAGGTGAAACCAAAGAAAGAGTAAAGTACTCTGAATATAGCTATGTTCAATATACATACTTGCTATCCATAATTAATCACTTGGTCAGACTTGAAACTGATATAGTAACGTGGGACTTAGAAAGGACACTCATTTCTCCATATACATGACAGAATCTTACTGTTTTCCTCATTAGCAATTTACTCACTGAGGCATGTTTTTCAACTGGTCATCTTTCCCTCTAACTTGAGTCAGTGGAAATTTTAAAACAGTGAACGTTTAACACTTCTCATACATTTCTTCAGTTAAGCTAAAGAGAGGCAAGAATTTCGACTTTTTAGGATTAGAAAAAATGACTCCAATAAGACTTAATTTGTTGTGTATCATATTTTAATAAGAAACCTTTAAAAGTTTCCCCTATTAAAGTATAAACAAAAGTTTTAAAAATTGTTGAGTTATAAACTTAGAATATTATCTCTTACTATAACACATCAAAATGGAGTCAATACTGAGATTCTAAAAAGGAGATTACAAGCCCCAGGGTAAGTGTCACACAATCAGCAAGAAATATGTCAGGGGTATGAGGGTAAATAAAGTTATTACTTTGGAAATCTTTAAGGTTTACTCAGGAGTTCAACGTTGCTTTTCTTTTTGTGGTCTCATGTCATCTTAAATGGCTAGCCATGGGAGACAAAAGGTAAAACTTTTAAAATATCATATGTGTACTAGATTCTTAGGTAAATATACTTCTGGTTTGATTTGATATTTCTCATTTCCTTCCTTTCACTAATAAGAAGAAAACATAACAAACTGAGACTAAAATTTGGAATCACAGGTTCCTTTCTAGAGTCCTTTTTTTAAGAAAAAAAAACTAATGCATTAAGTAGTTCAAGTACAGAGAACAATCATCGCATAAGTACCGATGTACCAATTCTCCAGATTTAACAAAAACTGGTGGTGTGCTTTCCTTTCTTTTAAGTTAAAACATTAATAGGGAAGAGGAACCTGCAAATGAAAACAATTAAAATTCACTAAAATCAACACCCATGAGATGAGACTGCAACTTAACAAAAAGGTTTAGGCATGAGTCTGGGTATTTTTTTTCTCAATGATGACCTCAGCTCCATATGAAGATATTAAGGAAACCCTATTCATTTGTACCAGCCATTTCCATAGCACAAATACAAGGGATAAAAAAGTCATCAAGAAAAATCATTAAAATATTACTGACTGTTTCCAAAGTAGCTGATACACCAATTTAGTATGGCTTTTGGGATGCAGAAATTATATTTAAAGTTAGCAAGACACGGTGAATTTTCTATGGCAAGTTTTATGGGTTTTTTTGAGGGGAGTAGTGTTGGTTATTTGAAAACCTGTGCACACCTACAAAGATAAACACAATATGGTATAACCCTGTTCCATATCCAGCACTTAGTACAGTATCTCATACATAGTAGTTTCTCAATAAATGTTTATTAAATGAACAAGCAAAAAGCCATTGTCCAGTTATTAAAAAAAGTGATGATTGCATGTGCCCATTTAACGTGTTAATCATTATAGATCTGTATTACAAAAAAGAAAGCAATTTTCCCACAACACAGAATCTATTCTTTGTATTAGTGGCAGCCAATAAGATTATGATATTTCAGTTTTGTCACAACAATATCAATTGACAAAAATAGATAAGTGAAATTAAAAACTGATTTTAAGAATGGAATCTGGTTTGCCCTATAATTTTTAAATAAATTATATTCTAGGTACTAAATTTTGAGGAAAGCAATATGGGGAAAAAACATGAGAATCAGAGCCTCGAGCCTTCCATGGGTGTGTGTGTGTGCATATAAAATGAACTAGAAAAACATAATAAAACTATTTTATTACAATTCTGAGTAGAGCCTGACTTTTTGATTTGCGTGTTTAATGCTTTCTCCTTGAAAATGTTTCCTGTTAAAAAAAGAGGAAAATGTTTCCTGTTTGCATTATATAAATAGTTAAGATTTCCAAAAAATTAAAGTTAGAGACAGTATATAGTGTAGAATCCTACTGCAGAATTACATGGGTTTGGGAATGCCATGCATTAAATACCAACCTCTGACACATAACATACAACTAACATCTGAGGGTAACGGTTTGTCTACTATATACAGAGGCTGATATCATCAGCATTAGGAAGGGGTACCCCTATAATCATCAACAATTCTTACCCTGGAGACCTGAGCACAGCGACACAAAGTAACAACATCCAGAAAAGAAAATATCCTAAAAGAGAAGGAGACAAACTTTATTATATGATAAGTAGTTTCTCTTGATTTTTACCTATAAATGCCTATGTTAATACATGCATGAAAAGGGAGAGGTTCTTTTTTTTTTTTAAGATCTTATTTATTTACTTGACAGAGAGAGACACAGCGAAAGAGGGAACACAAGCAAGGGGAGTGGGAAAGGGAGAAACAGACTTCCCGCAGAGCGGGGAACCCAATGCAGGGCTCGATCCCAGGATCCTGGGATCATGACCTGAGCGGAAGGCAGATGCTTAACAACTGAGCCACCCAGGCGCCCCAGGGAGAAGTTCTTTTGAACAAACACAAAAAGCAGGAGCAACTTACAACATAACACTGCCCATATAAAACATTGGGGGAGAAAGAAATCTTTTACTTGAGAATGTATGTATAAGTACCACACAAGTTCAATTACTTATATCAAGGGATAATAAAATATTTCTAACTGATACAATTTGTTAAAAGTAAAAAAAACAATGTTCACACTTCTGGTTATCAAAAGACTAGGGGAGTGTTAACTTTATAAAGAATATGACAGTTATGAAGGAAAAAAGATTAAATAATACAGTAATACCTAAAAAATGAGTAACTATTAAATCTCTATATATGTAATTCTAATTTAGGAAGTTATAAAACTCATCACTGTCGGGAAACACTGCCTAGAATTCTTCTCAGTCCTACAGAAGTTAAATATTTATTTTGAAGCATTATTATTTGAAATAACTGATTTGCTTAAAGTGTGATAACTCTCTACACTATAAGCCACCTGTAAAAACAGGTCAGAGCATCCTCATAATAAGTGAATGGGTCACATCTGTTTAAAGCCCTCTACTCATCAGCACCCTTTAAAGGTCATTTTGACCTGAATAATAAGCTCAACTCTTCTGCAAGTGGCAACAACTGTAATATACCACATGCTTCAACGGTTTAAGTAAATTAAAGTTAATTTTGCCTTAAGGATTTTATAAATTCCTTGAGATAACTGGAGATACCTAGGATGTTACAAAACGGAGGTCAGGAAGCATTAATTTGGAGAAGAATGAAGGCCAGATTTTTTTCTTCCATAATTACTTTAAGTGTATAAAAACCTTCTGAATTAGCTTAAAAGAACAAAATTTTGTTGCTTAGTGATTAGAGCCTATCAGTCACATTTTTGGAACTTGGAATAAACTCAGCTAATAATTACATCAGACAAGGGTGCCTAGGTGACTCAGGTCATGATCTCAGGGTCATGAGATTGAGCCCCACGTTGGGCTCCCCACTGAGTGTGGAGCCTACTTAAGATTCTCTCCACTCCCCACCCACTCACATGTTCTCTCTCTCTAAAAAAATAAAAATAAAAATAAAAAACTTTAAAAAAATAATTACATCAGACAAAAAGTAATGTGCATTTTGTAAATATCTGTGTTTGTTTTTTTTTTAAACTTTTTTGTTGGAGCACCTGGGTGGCTCAGTAAGTATCTGCCTTCAGCTCAGGTCATGATCCCAGGGTCCTGGGATCAAGCCCCCCATCAGGCTCCCTGCTCAGCAGGAAGGCTGCTTCTCCCTCTCCCACTCCCCCTGCTTGTGTTCCCTCTCTCGCTGTGTCTCTCTCTGTCAAATAAATAAATAAAATCTTAAAAAAAATAAAAAATAAACTTTTTTGTTATTTGGGTAAAATATACATAAAATTTGCCGTTTTAATCATTCTTAAGTGTACAATTCAGTAGCATTAAGTACATTCACACTGTTGTGCAACCACTACCACCATCCATCTCCAGAACTTTTTCATCTTTCCAAACTGAAACTCCATACTTATTAAACAGTACTCCTCCTTCCCCTTTCCGCTAGCTTCGGCCAACTACCACTCTACTTTTTTGTCTATAAATTTGGCTACTCTAGGTACTTCACATGAGAGGAATCATATGGTATTCGTCCTTTTGTGCTTTTTTAAAGATTTCTTTATTTTAGAGAGAGAGCAGAGGGAAGAGCAGAAGGAGAGGGAGACAGAGACTCTTATGCTGACTCCACATTGAGGATCCTGCAGGGCTCGATCTCACGACCCCAAGATCATGAACTGAGCCGAAATCAAGAGTCAGACACTCAACAGACTGAGTCATCCAGGCGCCCCACTATTTGTCCTTTTATAACTGGCTTATTTCACTTAGCATAATGTCTTTAAGGTTCATCGATGTAACACATCTCAGAATTTCCTTCCTAATGCTACATAATACTCTGCTGTAGGGGCGCCTGGGGGGCTCAGTTAAGCAGCCAACTCTTGGTTTTGGCTCAGGTCTTGATCTTGGGTCATAGGATTGAGCCCTCCATCTGGCTCCATGCTCAGAGCAAGTCGGCTTGGGATTCTCTCCCTCTGCCTCTGCCCCTCCTTAAATGAATAAAAAAGAAGAAAGGAAAGGAAAGGAGAGGAGAGGGGAGGGGAGGGGAGGGGAGGGGAGGGGGGAGGGGAGGAAAGAAAAAAGAAAAGAAAAGAAAGGAAAAATCTTGGGGCATCTCTAAATAAATAAAAATCTTGGGCCACCTGGGTGGCTCAGTTGTTAAGTGTCTGCCTTCGGCTCAGGTCATGATCCCAGGGTCCTGGGATTGAGTCCCATATTGGGCTCCCTGCTCAGTGGGAAGCCTGCTTCTCCCTCTCCCACTCCCCCTGCTTGTGTTCCCTCTCTCACTGTCTCTGTCAAATAAATAAATAAAATATTTAAATAAATAAATAAATAAATAAATAAAAATCTTGGGGCGCCTGGGTGGCACAGTCAGTTAAGCAGCCAACTCTGGTTTCAGCTCAGGTGGTGATCTCGGGTTGTGGGATCAAGCCCCACCTCAGGTTCCATGTTCAGTGGGGAGTCTGCTTGAGATTCTCTCTCCCTCTCCCTCTGCCCCCCTCATGCTCTAAAATAAATATACAAATCTTTAAAATAAAATCCTTAAAAAAATATTCCACTGTATGTGCATATCACATTTTGTACATCTGTCCATAGAGGGAAAGGTTGGATGCCTTTCTTGTTACCTTGAGGTGGTCCAGCTAGACTATTTTTTTATAGAATAAATCTCCCATCCTCTTCAATACAGATTACTAACCACTCCCAAATAAATATAGATATCCCCAACTTAGGTACCTCAATTCCTAAAACAGTACAGTAAATTTTTCTTATGCAACAATCATCCTTGAATTGCTGAAATGCCCCTGCCTTTTCCTGTCTTCTGCTATATCATACCTGTATGTGGAATTTCATAATCTAAAGATCCTGTTTCTGCAAACTCATCACTAACCCCTGAGCAATTTGTATAAATATACTATTACACCTGGCGGGACACAGGCGAGCAGCTTTACAGGTAATGATCCTAGTTAGACTACAGTAACCTTTTCTCCACAAAAGGAAGCACTATAGACAGACAGACATGAAACATCAGGCTGGAGGCCAAATGCAGACCTAGGAGACTCTCTGAAGCACACATCTCAACAATCCTAATTCCATTCTTAGAATGCACTGACTGGGGTTCTGAATATCAAGATCCCAAATGAGTTAGGTTTTCACCTGAATTTTGACACTGCAGTACATTAAAAAGAGAGAAGACAAATATAGCCACTATGCTCCTGTATTCATGTAAAAAGAGCTTGGTCTTTCCAGCCTTGATTTGGCTCCCTAGTAAGATGAATGATAAGCCTCAGTGCTTAAGTCCCTTCTACCACTCCATACTAGTCGGCCTAAATGTCTATTATTTTGTAAACTTTGATTTCTACTTATTCTACATACTTGACAGTGGAGATAATTATCTTTAGAGACCTGAATATAAGAATTGTTGGGATACGCTGCCAGGGTTTTAGCCAGAGAGATGTTTTTGTTTTTTTGGTGGGGGGCTCACAATGAGCATTTATTCTTCAAAATATCATAATGTTAAGGTAAATTAAAAAAAAATCAGTACAGGGGTGCCTGGGTGGCTCAGTCATTGAGGGTCTGCCTTTGGCTTGGGTCATGATCCCAGAGTCCTGAGATCCAGCCCTGCATTGGGCTCCCTGCTCGGCAGGAAGCCTGCTTCTCCCTCTCCCACTCCCCCTGCTTGTGTTCCCTCTCTCGCTGTGTCTCTCTCTGTCAAATAAATAAAATGTTAAAAAAAAAAATCAGTACATGTATAAATATATATCTATAGCATCTATATAATAAGCCAGCATAATAAACTACATTATACTGAGCATCTTCCTGCTTTTCATCATCTTAAGGCTAAGTACCTTAGAGCGTGTTGACAGTGGTCCTTTTCTCCACACTTTAACCCTTTACATAATTCCTCCTGAGATACCTATGTCCATAACCAGAATGGTTAAGTGATGCATGATAACAACACTTACGGTGGTAGGCATTTCATAATGTATGCAATTGTCAAATCACTATGTTGTATTTTTTTCTTTTTTAAAAAGTAGGGTCCAGGTCCAATGTGGGGCTCCAACTCATGACTCTTGAGATTAAGATTTGTTTGCCCCACTAAGCCAGCCAGGGGCCCTGCCCTGATAACCAGAATGGTTAAGATCAAAGAGATAAGAAAACTGAGATGGAATGAAGGGTCTGCTATTGTCTAAGGATCCTCTTGATTGCTTCAATAAAAGTCTTTTCTGATCTCTTATCAACAGACTATTGAAAGACTGGACTGGCTTTAGGCTGCCCAGGTTTAAGCAAAGTAGACCTCGCCTTCCCCACCCTTGATAAAGAATACCAGGAAGCAAAAAGACACTAAAACATCATGTGGAAGAAAACAGGGTCTAATTCTACATAAAACTCATTGCCATACAAAAAAAGAAAAAAATAGGGGCGCCTGGGTGGTCAGTCATTAAGCATCTGCCTTCGGCTCAGGTCATGATCCCAGCATCCTGGGATTGAGCCCCGTGTCGGGCTCCCTGCTCTGCAGGAAGCCTGCTTCTCCCTCTCCCACTCCCCCTGCTTGTGATCCCTCTCTTGCTGTGTCTCTCTTTGTCAGGTAAATAAATAAAATCTT